CAGCTGGAGCAGGAGCAGGAGCAGGAGCGGCAGCGGGAGCCTCTGCTGCGATCCCAGGAGGGACCCAGGCGGGGGGGCGAGGCCGTGACGTCACGAGGGGCGTGTCGGATGCAAACGAGGCCCCGGCGGGCTGCGGCCCCCGGCGCTGGACTCCCCCCGGGCGGTGGCGGCGGCGGCGGCGGCGGCAGCGCCCTCGCTCGCGCTGTGTTCCGCAGAGTTGTGCGGGGGCTGAGGATGCTCGGGCCGGAGTGGGTGCGGAGGGTTTTGGGGTGTCGGCCGGGTGAGCGTGTGTGTAAGGTGGAAGGCGCGCGGGGCTGCTGCGGGGCGGGGCGGCGCGGGGCATACTTACCTGGCGGCGGAGACACCATGATCCTGCAGGTGGTTCTCCCGGGGCGAGGCTCGGCCACTGCACGCGGGCCGCGCTGACCTCTGCGGCTTCCCCCAACGCGGGAAACTCGGCTGCGCAATTTGTGGGCGTGGGGGCCTGCGCTCGCGCTCGCCCCCGGCGGCGGGGTCTAAGGGAAGATGACGCTACTTTTGTCACGGGATTTTTGATTTTTCATGAGTGGGAAGCGGCTGCTGAGCAAAGAACCTGATAGGGGCTCCGGACTCGTTTGTTGTGTTCTTCTTGGGTTCTCGCACGGGTGGCCCCTGGGTACACGCAAACCCATATCTGCTTCTCCGGTGGTTTAGTTAAGCTCTGGTTTCCTTTTTTTTTTTTTTTTTTTTTTTTAATATTTTGTTCGTGAGTGGTCAGCAGAGAATGGAGGCAGACACACAGGTGGAGGAAGGAAGCTCCATGCAGGGACCCCGAAGTGGGACTCGATCACGGGTCTCCCGGGTCACGCCCTGGGCTGAAGGCGGCGCTAAACCGCTGACCCACCCCCCGGGCTGCCCCTTGACCGGCGTTTAGAGGCACGTCTGTCCACTCGCAAAGGATCCCCCCCACACACACACTTTTAGATAAAATTTACATATCGTCAACACTTGTTCAGTACCACCTGTTGTTCAGATGCTTTTTTCACTCACCCACGTTCCCTTCAGCGGCTCTCAAGACCCTCCCCGCTGCCCCCTCCAGCCCCCAGCCACTTGGGCTGCTTTGTGTCTCTACACATTGTTCTTGGCTGGATATTTTATGTTAACCGCGTAAGACAGTACGCAGTCCTTGGTGACTGGCTTCTGAACTTAGCATGCTTTGAGGTTATTCCGTGCTGGAGCTTAGTCAGATTTCTCTGCTTTTTCTTATTGCTTATTAGAATTCCATGTGACTCCTAGGCCACACTTTGGCCATTCTCCACTTGACAGACCTTTGTGCTGTTTGCCAGGTTTTTTCCTAATGTCAGGAATGCTGCCCTGGACATTTCTGTAGGACTCTTGAGTGGAAGTATGTTTTTACTCCTCTCAGCTAGGTTTCTAGCCGTGGGATTGCTGGATCCTATGGGAAGCTTTTGCTTAACTTTTAAGGAACCCTCAAAGTGGTTTCCAACGTGGCTCTTGTACGTTATGTTCTCAGCAATAGAGGAGGCTCCCAGGCTCCACATCCTCAGCAACACTCGGTGGTGTCTTTTGAACATAATCTCACTAGCTGGTGTAAAATGGTTCCTGGTCTTAGCTGCATTTCCAATTTACCAACATTTAGTATAACACCCAGTGCTCATCCCATCAAGTGCCCTCCTTAGTGCCCGTCACCCAGTTACCCCATCCCCCCACCCACCTCCCTTTCCACAACCCCTTGTTTCCCAGAGTTAGGAGTCTCTCATGGTTCCTCTTCCTCTGATGGCACAGCTGGAGTCCAGGATCACTGCCAGTGCCTTCCACCTCGGCCGCTGGCAGTTCCTCTGGACTCCACAAGGTGGCAGATGACTTAGGGAGGAAATCTCCAGGTGGCACAAGGAGACCAGGGGGCAGCAAGCAAAGATGGGGGGGACCAGCTCTCTGGAGATTCTGGGAGGAAGTGAGGGCTGCAGGACACACGAAAGCAGTTGGCAGGATCTGGATGGATCTTAAGTAGGCTTGGTCCCTGGGTAGGCTCTACCCATCAACCTTTAGGTTAACCTTTGAGGCTTCCTCCTGCACTAGCTTGAGGCTCCCACCCCATTTCCCCTTCCCATCAGCAGACAGAAGAGTGCCTGTGGCACCATTAACCTTCTCCTCTAACTAGGGGAGTTTGGGATGGGTTTTGGGGGACTCTACCCCTTTCTGGCCACCTCTCTTGGGGCAACTACTTGGGGATGAGCCATCCCCGCAGGGACCTAGAAGGGGCCCCGTGTCCTTCAAATTGGAGCTGGGCTCGCAAAGAAGAAGGGCTCCCGCTGATCTGTATTTCCCTGGCCAAGGCTGAGCATCCTGCTCCAGGACTGAGGGGCTGAGATGACCTAAAACAGAGAACCTCCTAAGGTGGCCTGTGGTGGTGGTGAGGAGAGAGGTAGGGCAAAGAATTCTACACTCTGTCAAAACATCTTCGAGTGAAGATTTTTAAAAATAGTTAAGAGGGTAGATCTCATATTATCTACTTGGTGGTATAGTTAATAACTGCATGGTGGCAGAGGGTAGCTACACCTCTAGAGACCATAACACAATTTATGGAGTTCTCCAGTCACTGTGTTGTAGATGTGAAATTGATGTTACATTTGTATCAACTAGAAATCGATTTTAAAAACCTAAAGGTGAGGGGAAACATTTGAAGAGGCAGCAATGAAAGTATACTTGATTGTGGAACAACATGAGTTAGAATTGATGTGAACAACGTGGGTTCAATTTGAAGTGAACATACGTCCACTTCTACATATAATTTTTTTGAATAAATACAGTATAGTACTGTAAATGTATTTTCTCTTAGGATTTTCTCAATGACATTTACTATCACTGAATCAAATGAATAAACAACATGCAAAATATAAGTTAATCAACTTTTTTTTTTTTTTTACATGTAAGGCTTCAGTAGGCAATGAGCAGATAAGTCTTTGTGGAGTCAAAGTAATACACAGATTTTAATTGTGGGCATCTGTACCCCTAACCTCCAGGATTTTCAAGGGTCCGTTGGTATCTGTATTTGCAGAGATGACATGCTCCTATAGTGAGAAAAAAATACCAAATACTGACATGGCCCAACTCCATAACCTAATTCTACAGAGTGTCAGGATACAGGACAGACCACATTGCTAGTGTTTCTACACACTAGCAATGAACAATCAGAAAAGGAAATTACGAAAACCATTCCATTTACAATAGCGTCCACCAGAATAAAGTATCTAGGAATAACTGATTCAAGGAGAACAAAATCTGTACACTGAAAATGACACAACGTTGCCGCAAGAGATTCAAGACCTAAAGAAGTGGAAAGACATGCTGCATTCCCGGATGGGAAGGAAGCAAGGTGTATGCGGTTAAGATGGCAATACCGCGGCCCGCAGATTCCCATAGGATTGCTATCAAGCATTTTCCTTCTGCCTTCTCGAATCGCATTCAGCCCTTGCTATACAATTCCTTTCAGACTTTGTGGTTCTCATCTCTTAACGTGAGATCGGATCTTTTTTCACATTTTCCATATATCTGCTGAATATTTTGAACCAAAGGAATGAATGCACTTGTAACAAACAAACACTTTCTAGTCCCGCTCTGGTGGTTCTCACATATGTGTCAGCTTTGGGTTGTTTTCAGAGGATTGATCCTGAAAGGGGGTCGTATCCTGCAAGAGTGCCAGGCCCTGGTCCTATGATTATCCTCAGAGGTGCTGTCGTCGTGTCTCAGGGAGGACCCTGTTGCACGCCACGCAGGCCCCTCCACAGCTCTTCCATGGTTCCTTTCCGCAGTTCTATCCTCCCCGGATGCTGTCCTGGGGTCTCTCGGCTCAGAGTCCTAAACTCCAAGATGTCCACAGGGCTCCTCTTCCAACGCCACCCCTGCTGGCTTGGATAAGATCTGGAGGCAGTACCTTGGAGCAGCTGTAGGGCTCAGGTCACCTGTGTCTCCGTATCTCCAGGAGTACTGTCCTCTTTGCCTGACCCGGTATTTTGGAAATAAATCTGCATTTCGTGCATCTTGTGTGCTTCTGTCCTGTTTTGTTTTGTTTTTTCAGGCAAGAGAGTGAACAAGTCCCTGTAAGTCCTTTTTGGTGTGGCTCCTATGTTAACTTCAAATTTGGAAAACCTCTATGTCGACCCTGAATAGAGAGAGACACCTTGCAGAGTAAAGAGCCCCAGCTCCTGTGAACGCATAAAGCCAGAAACCGCTTAAAACCCTTAAAGCTTGGATTTAGGAAGCAAGGCTCACACAGCTGTAAGGGCAGTTTTTGCTTCAGACCCAGAGGGTGGAGAGGGCGAAACGCGCCTTGCTTAAGGGTTAACCTGCTGTTTGTGAAATTTCTGTGGTGTCAACCCAGTGAATTCTTTGCGAATGGACACAGGTGCGTCTTTAAGAGCCCTAACGGGGCGCCTGGCTGGCCCGTCTCCATCAGGTGAGCGGAGACTAAACAATCTTACAAACGTAAAGCTGCCGAGCTCGACCGTCTCCATTCCCCCAAGGGCCCTCCGGAGGAAGGCTCTGCGGGTAGGGCAGGAAGGGCCTATCCTCATGAGGGGTAGAGCCTGGAGCTTGGGTGAGGTCCCGCAGGGGGCCAGGAGGAAGCGGGGAGGAGAAAGAGAAACAGACTCAGACGCAGACGTGTGTCCTGCAAAGCTGCGGGGTCTGAAGCACCTTTGCCAGACAGCGGGACTGCAAGCCCCGTAGGGAGACGCAGGCAGAGGTGCGGAGAGCTCTGGGGCGCTGCGCTCCCCGCTCTAGGAAGGAGCCCAGGGGAAGCGGGGAAAGCCGAGCTCCGCCTCCAGGCTCGCAGGTAGGAGCAGCCGAGACTTTCCATAGATAAGGAACAAGCACAGCTCACCACCTGGCGAGGCCTCAGAGCAAGAACATCTTCGCCACCGGCAACCTGTCGCCACAGAAAAACGACAGCAGAGGAGAGCAGAGGACCTCGGTCTTCCCTTAGACCCCGCCGCCGGGGGCGAGCGCGAGCGCGAGCGCAGGCCCCCACGCCCACAAATTGCGCAGCCGAGTTTCCCGCGTTGGGGGAAGCCGCAGGGGTCAGCGCGGCCCGCGTGCAGTGGCCGAGCCTCGCCCCGGGAGAACCACCTGCAGGATCATGGTGTCTCCGCCGCCAGGTAAGTATGCCCCGCGCCGCCCCGCCCCGCAGCAGCCCCGCGCGCCTTCCACCTTACACACACGCTCACCCGGCCGACACCCCAAAACCCTCCGCACCCACTCCGGCCCGAGCATCCTCAGCCCCCGCACAACTCTGCGGAACACAGCGCGAGCGAGGGCGCTGCCGCCGCCGCCGCCGCCGCCACCGCCCGGGGGGAGTCCAGCGCCGGGGGCCGCAGCCCGCCGGGGCCTCGTTTGCATCCGACACGCCCCTCGTGACGTCACGGCCTCGCCCCCCGCCTGGGTCCCTCCTGGGATCGCAGCAGAGGCTCCCGCTGCCGCTCCTGCTCCTGCTCCTGCTCCAGCTGCTCCTCCCCCAGCTCCTCCCCTCCGCCCCCTCCCTGCCGTGGCTTTCTTCCTCACCTTCCCAGTCTCCCCCGTTTCCTTCCCTCCAGCCTGATTTTGTTACCGTTCCTCCGACTTCTCCCTCAGCTCGGCCTCAGGACCCCTCCGCACGCGCACGCGCACGCGCACGCGCACGCGCACGCGCACGCGCACGCGCACGCGCACGCGCACGCGCACACGCACGCACGCACCCAGCCCTCAGCACAGACAAGCCTGCGCAGCCTGAGAGGACCGTGAGGAAGGACTTTCCCCCAGCCAGGGAAGCGCCGCCGCAGACACATTCTCTCTCTCTCCCTCTCTCCTCTCTCTCTCTCTCTCTCAAGTAAATAAAAATCTTAAAAAAAAGAATGTGCCAAATTGTTCTTCAAGATGTACTAAAGTACATTCCTACAATACATATTATCAAACTTTTTTTTTGAAATCTTTGTCATTTTAATAAGGGAAAACAAGGATTTGCCCTTTTTCGTTATAAGAAAGCTTCAAGGGCAGCCCGGGGGGCTCAGCGGTTTAGCGCCGCCTTCAGCCCAGGGCCTGATCCTGGAGACCCGGGATCGAATCCCATGTCGGGCTCCCGGTGCATGGAGCCTGCTTCTCCCTCTGCCTGTGTCTCTGCCTCTCTCTCTCTCTGTGTGTGTCTGTCATGAATAAATAAATAAAATCTTTTTTTAAAAAAAAAAAAGCCTCCTGGACCTCCTGGCTCTGAGGGCCCCACTCTCTGGAGCCCCACCGACCCCCACAGCTGTAAAACTGTTGAGCACTCACCTCACACACACCTGCCTTAATGCAATTCCATTCTCCTAGGAACAGGGGAAATGTGGGGACACACAGCCTCTGCACCCAGCTTCCTTCACTGATGTAAAGATGCCATCATGCAGATCGGGCCAGAAATGACCTCAAGGGCAGCCGTAGCTCCTTGCTCAGAATTTGCCAGTGTTATCTGGGCAAATAAACACAGGGCCGAGGTTAATACAACATGCTTTCTGACTCCTCCAGCCAAAAAAGAGACTTTAGTTACCTCACAGGGAATGCTTCTGCCAGAGATTGATTTGTCTCCCTTGGATTAGGGCACCACTTTTTTCCAGGACCCTCGAACCAAATAGCCAGGGTTTGGGGAGGTGGAGATTGAGCTGGGGAGGGGTACAGAGGACACCAGGTCTTTTAAAAAGCTTCCTCAGCTGCCCTGCAGCAGGAGAGAAGATGGACTTCATCGGTGGGGAACAGGGCTGGCTGGGAGGGGGCTGTTTGGAATAATAGGGGGCGCTGGGCACATGGGAAGGAGACGCTGAGCCAGCCCATGTCACTGTTTGCCCAGGGCTGCTCCTGTCAGCACAGGCCCCAGAAAATCTGAGTGAAATCCCGATTGGAGCAGCTGGGACAGCCGGGGCTGACTTCCCCAGGCCCCTCCAGGTGCCTGCTGCACTCCTCCTGTTACACCAGCTGTGGCGCCCCCCTGCTGGCCCCTGCAGCCTGCTCCTCCCCCCCAAGCTCTCTGGAGGCCCTTAGTCTGGTTGGCCTTCCTGGTAGGACAACGCATGCCTTTCCTAAGATCTCTGGAGTGGCGTCTGTCGTCACGGGAAAAAGCCCCTACTCACCGGAGGTCTTGAGCTAAGTCTCTGGGCCTGTGTCCTATCCACACGGAGTTCACTGTGGGGTCTTGGTGCTGAAACTGCCTCCATCAGCCTTAGCAACCAGGACCTTCCATATCACCCAGTGCTGGGGCCGGGCCGGCCTCCACTCAGGAGTCATTTGGCCACAACGCGGGAGTGATGGTGAAGAGATTCAACAACGGGGTATCAGGTTGCCGGCCAGTTGAAGGGACGCCGCCGGGACCCCTGCACAGAGGCTCATTATCAGCCCTGGTCCAACTGCAGGCGCTCAGGATGCCGGGCTCGGGGCTCGCTGCCCCCACTGCACAGAGAGCGGCTCCTGGCCCCACCCCCACGTCTCCTCCACCACCTTTGGTCTCGAGCCCTCGCGCTCCCCTCTATGTAAGGTCCACATGGAAGGGAAAGATTTTCAGTTGCCCTGTCCCACGGTCACCCTAGGTCGGCTCCGGCCATTTCTTTGTTTGCCCAGGTAAGCTGGCAGGTAAAGACTTTCCCTGTGTAGGCCGAAGATTGCCCTGGCTGACTAGGAGCAGGAAAGAGGATGAAGGAGTCACTGGACAGGGCGCTAGGCCGCGTGACACCCGGGCCCAGCAAGGCCGCATCACCTGGGGGGAAACAAGGGCTGTGAGGAATGGCCGGGCCCCCGCTGCCACTGCTGAGCCGGGCGCACGGAATGACGCTGCGCTGGAAGCGGGGTGCAGAGGAGATGCCACAAACCAAGAGCAATACCGAGGAAACAGCACCTCTGTGGGGCGCCAGCTGGATTGTAAAATCTTGACGCTTTTGACCTGGGGGTTACGTGGACAGCCCCGGGACAGGGGGTGCCAGGAAGTCGTCCCAGCCGTCACATGCCACCCGGGCTAGGAGGCTCTTGGGCGACGCTCAAAGAACTTGAGCTCCCAGAACGTGCCCTGCCTACCTCCGAAGTAGTGGCGTGTCCGGGGAGTTTTGGGGAAAGAGGCCGAGACACTGAATACTGAGCTCAAAGTTTCACCCAATGTTTATCAGTCCCTCCTGTTTTCCCGGGATCGGCGAGCGGCCTCAGGGGAGTCCTTCTCAGCGCCAGGGGTTCAATGACAGGCGGAAGGAGGACCTGCTGCCCACGCGCAGACGGATGGAGACACTCGTGTTCACCAGGTGCCTCGGGCACTTGCCACGAACCCCGTCTTCGTCCCTTTAACCCTCCCTGGGGCTCTGAGGCACCCCATCCTTCTTACTGAGGAGGAAACACAGGCTCAGGAGAAGTAAACATTCCTTGAAGGCCTCCCCCTTCCGGGTCTGCTGCAGCCAGGTCGGAACACACCTGTTCTCCGAGGCACTGCAGACGCGCTGCAGCCCCCCCCCCTCCCCCCCCGCGCGGGGCTTCCACGGACCCTTTGCTCAGTCACAGCACAGAGGCCACAGTGGCGGTTCACAGCCGCCAGTCTCCATCAGCTGCCCCAGGCCAGCCTTCTCAGTCCAGACGGGAGTCTCAAAAACAGGTGCCATTCGGGAGGCCCAAGCTAGGGAGGGATCACCCCCTACTAGTGGGGGGAAACCGTTTCCTTAACAGGTGAGGCCCTTAGGCTCAGGGAGTGCGATTCTGTCACGTTTCAGGAAAATCATCCTACGAAGAGTCGAGGAGTCGAGGAATATACTGTCCCACCCGTACTGAGCTGGCTTTGGGAAATAGGCAACTGTTCCCATGCTTGACCCCTGAACGCACTTCCTCTCCCTCAGGAATCCTTCCAAACATCAGATACCACCTCTGGACTCAACCGAATTCACACACACCCCACCACACCCAGCGGCCTCTGTGTGCCGTCCCTCCCACCGAATGGGGACCGCTGTGCCAAAGGTCTGGGTTTTAGCCCTCCTCTTGGGCAAATCACCCACCCCGGTCCCTGGCACGTAGTGCTGTGCGTGTTGGCTGGCATGTTTATTAATGTGCGTGTATATACCAGATGGAAGGGATCTGACATACCGAGTTGACTTCCTGTAAAAATGCCTCTGACTAATCTGAGAGACAGACAGGAGAGGGATCCCTCTTCTGAGCACACAGCCAGGCAGGCACTTTGCCCACTGCCCCCTCCCTCCACACCACCTACCCTCCCTGCTGCCCACAACTCGGCCCACGGCTCCCCTCTGGTGGCTCCTCAGGGTAATAACAGAGACACACAGGGAGATTGGGCGCAGGCTCTTTATTGGCTGCTTATCACTCCACTGTAGGGGTCAGCCAAGGTCTGCAGAGTAAGCAGTGTCAGCCTGAGGATTGTGGGCCTCCTCTCTCTGGATCCCAGTGGCCAGGTTTCTTCAGAAAAGCCCCCCAGAGCTTAGAAGAGGAACTGGAAAGCCTCAGTCACATGTTGCTTCCATGCTTCCAGGCTGGGCAGCAGGGAGGAGATGCCCATGACGTGCCAGGTCTCCCCATCTGACACCACCGAGGTCTGGTAGGACAGTAGCTGCACGCCTGCCTCTGCCAGGAGGCCTGGGAAGTAGACGGGAAAACCGCTGATTGGCACAAGGCAGGGGGGGAAGGAGAAAAAGAGGCTGGGAATCGGGTGGGAAGCCGTGGGCCTCTGTGATCAAAGTTGCAGTGGAGGGTGATGGGGTCAGAAACAAAGAGCTGAGAGATGGAAGAACAGGGCATCTGCCCAGCTTCCCTCACTACTCAGAGACCCTTTAGGAATCCCCTGACCATCGTGCAACGTAGGGAAGGAATGAGCCAGCCACAAATTGCTAGAGCAATCTCCTGCCATGCCGGGATCAGATTTATCTAGACCAAGAGCAAAGGAGAAAAACGGGAAAGTTCCTTTGGTCAGTTGGCAAGGATGGTGAAATTAGGCCTTTCGAGGTCTGTGGACACAACCGCCAAGCCCGGAAGTGCTCCAAAACTCCCAGTGGGCCGGTGCCAGGGTCCTGAGGCAGGTTCAAGATGCCCCCAGCTGCTGGAGCACCCGCCAACATGCTTTGTTGCAGTCAGGCTGGCCCCCAGGGCCTGCGGTCAGAAGAAAGAAACCTGCACGCAAAGGCTCGG